GTTGTTGTTTTCCACAGTAAAGTAGATTTTACAGATGCTAACATACAGATAGCTTAAGGAGAGGACAAAGGCGCCTGAAATGAGCGACCAACTGCTAGCTGATACCCGTCGTCTACGTCCAGTCAGTCAGGCTAATGTGGAAACAACACCCCATTGTTCACAAAACTTTCTAATTCTTTAATCTTGATAGTTTGGGTGTCACCAACATAATTTGACAAAGAAATGTTCACTCATTGGACTTACTGAGCTACAAAAGCACGAGCTGATGGTGTCACGGGAGCCTGAAGAAGCTACAGAATCACACCATGAACCGAGAAACTCAGATCAGCACAAAAGCCTCGCTGCCACTTTTTCTCGACTGAAATGAAGCTTTTTGATGCTTCCATTGTATCCAGATTTTTGCCTGCCAGTCGGAGATTTTAAAAAGACCCTCAGAGAGAAAATTGCTCGGCTCGACAGCGTCTTTAAAAACCTGGCCGCTCCGACCACGTGTCAACCGGCGCCGGCTCGCTTCTCGGCCACTCAGCCTAATTTCTGCTGACCCAATTATTCGGGCCTCGTGTCTGGCGGGCAGCGGTCCGAGGTGTCGGTCCGCCGTGACACTCGCGCAGAATAAACCCGTGAGTTGCGAGCGATGCCGCTGAATGGGGGAAGCGAGAAAGCCAGAAGAAAAGGCGCGACGGATAAATGGCTTCTCGTGAGCCGCTCGGCTGAACAGCTGCCAAATTGAGGCGAAACCAGAAGCTCCTGCAGCATCACGACAAAGAACACGGTTGTAATGTGAGAACTGCATGACTCAAAGCATGACATGACATTATAACTAAGAGCGATGAATCATATTATATCGCTAATATCTAAGACCTTTCATGACATGGAGCCTTTTAGCTTATTACCTGAATAAGTTATGAAATTAGCCGTTATTGAACGCTCGCCGTATTGCTCCAGTAAAGGCCTCAAAATGTTTATTCATGTCTGGATTTGATTTCCTGCCTTGCTGCTTTGAGAGGCTTTTTGAGAAACCCTCTATTCACCAGCAGTGTGATTCAGTTAATGATTTTTTTTTCTTCCCAGGTCTTTTTCATGGCATCTTTTCAAAACTTTCCACTTCATCTGTCCTCCTTTGTGGCTCATTTGTAAACGTAACATGATTGGCCCACAGAGCGTGCGAAAAGTAGAATTGATTGCTTACA